AGAGAGGTGGGGTACACCATCAAGTGATGGACACAATACATATAACCGAGGAGGAGGTGAAGAGGCTACTAGGAGAGCTAGATACATCAAAGACGATGGGGCCAGATAACATCTCTCTATGGGTCCTGAGAGATGTTATCCGGAGCAGAAGCACTCTGTGTGCCACTAACAACAATCTTCAACATATCTATCGAAACAGGGCGACTACATGAGGTATGGAAGACAGCAAATGTAGTCCCAATTTTTAAAAGAGGAGACAGACACGAAGCATTAAACTACAGGCCAGTGTCACTGACATGTATAGTATGCAAAGTCATGGAGAAGTTTATCAGGAGAAGAGTGGTGGAACACCTAGAAAGGAATGAGGTTATCGACGACAGTTTCAGGGATGGGAAATCCTGTGTTACAAACCTGCTGGTCTTCTATGACAGAGTGACAGCAGTAAGACAAGAGAGAGAGAGGGGTAGGTAGACTGCATTTTCTTGGACTGTAAGAAGGCTTTTGACACAATTCCGCACAAGAGATTAGTGCAAAACCTGTAGGACCAGGCAGGTATTGCAGGGAAGGCACTGTAATGGATCAGAGAATACCTGACAGGAAGGCAACTGAGAGTCATTATACTTGACGAGGTGTCAGAGTGGGCGCCTATGACAAGCGGGATTCCACAGGGGTCAGTCCTAGCACCGGTGCTGTTTCTGGCATATGTGAAAGACATGACGGAAGGAATAGACCCAGAAATGTCCCTATTTGCAGACGATGCGAAGTTAATGAAGAGAATTCAATGCAGGACTACAAAGAGATCTGGACAGGCTACAGGCTTGGTCCAAAAACTGGCTCCAGGAGTTCAACCTCACCAAGTGTAAAGCCATAAAGATTAGGGAAGGGCAAAGAAGACCGCAGACGGAATACAGCCTAGGGGGGCCAGAGACTAGAAACCTAACTCAAGGAAAAGGATCTTGGGGTGAGTATAGCACCAGGCACATCTAGTGAGGTGCACATCAACCAAATAACTACTGCAGCATATGGACGCCTAGCAAACCTAAGAACAGCATTCTGACATCTTAATAAAGAATCGTTCAGGACCCCGTACACTGTGTACGTTAGGTCCATATTGGAGTATGCGACAGCAGTTTGGAACCCACACCTAGCCAAGCACGAAAAGAAACTAGAGAAAGTGCAAAGGTTTACAGCAAGACTTGTCCCATAGCTAAGGAGTATGTCCTACGAGGAGAGGTTAAGGGAAATCGACCTGACGAAACTGGAAGACAGGAGAATATGACAGACACATATAAAATACTGAGAGGAATCGACAAGGTGGACAGAGATAGGATTTTCCAGAGATGGGACGAAGCAACAAGGGGTCACAGTTGGATGATGAAGACTCAGATGAATCACAGGGATGTTAGGAAGTATTTCTTCAGTCACAGAGTTATCAAGAAGTGGAATAGTCTGACAAGTGATGTAGTGGAGGCAGGATCCATACATAGCTTTAAGAAGATGTATGATAAAGCTCGTCGAGCAGGAAGAGTGACCTAGTAGTGACCAGTGAAGAAGCGGGGTCAGGAGCTGTGAATCAACCCATGCAACCACAACTAGGTGAGTACACACAAACACAAACACACCACACCCCACACAACATACACACACACACAAAACACACACACACACACACACACACACACACACACAACCCCACACACACCACACACACCACACACACACACATACACCTGTGACCAGCGGGGGTCCCGCAGGGGGCAGTCCTAGGACCAGTGCTGTTTCTGGTATTTTTGAAACGACATGACGGAAGGAATAAACTCCGAGGTGTCCTGTTTTCAGATGACGTGAGTTGATGAGAAGAATACACTCGATCGAAGACCAGGCAGAAAATACAAAGGGATCTGGACAGGCTGCAGACCTGGTCCACAATTGGCTCCTGGAGTTCAATCCCACCAAGTGCAAAGTCATGAAGATTGGGAAGGCAAAGAAGACCGCAGACGGAGTACAGTCTAGGGGGTCACAGACAAAAAACCTCACTCAAGGAAAAAAGATCTTGGGGTGAGTATAACACCAGGCACATCTCCTGAAGCGCACATCAACCAATAACTGCTGCAGCATATGGGCGCCTAGCAAACCTCAGAACAGCATTCCGACATCTTAATAAGGAATCATTCAGGACCCTGTACACCGTGTATGTTAGGCCCATATCGGAGTATGCGGCACCAGTTTGGAACCCACACCTAGCCAAGCACGTGAAGAAACTAGAGAAAGTGCAAAGGTTTGCAACAAGACTAGTCCCAGAGCTAAGAGGTATGTCCTACGAGGAGAGGTTAAGGGAAATCAACCTGACGACACTGAGGACAGGATAGATAGGGGGGACATGAAACGACATACAAAATACTGAGAGGAATTGACAAGGTGGACAAAGACAGGATGTTCCAGAGATTGGACACAGTAACAAGGGACACAGTTGGAAGCTGAAGACACAGATAAATCCACA